TTAACAACCCATATACCACTAATGCTTAACAACCCATATACCACTAAAACAATGTTTTTCAACCTGTAGATGCTCATACGCTGAGTCATGAAACAATCTACAACAGAATCGATACTATGCCTTACAAATAATAAAACAAAATAGAAATAGCTGAGTACATGACAGATAGTAGTCATTGTTTTATGAAACTTCAATTAAATGTATATGTGTGTGTGTGTGTGCACGCATTTGTGTGTGCGCATGTGTGTATTTACAGAGCATTATTCATTATGTATGAGATTCAATTTTGTACACAATGTAGTTAATAGCTGAGGAAAATTCTAAAACTCTAATTTTAAAAAAATTCATGTTTTAACAGATAGAAAGATACCTCCAGAAAATTGTGTAGGAAGATAACAGAACAAAAAGGTACCTGAGAAAAATCTTCTGGGGTTGCATGTGGACTGGTGTCTTCTATGGAATACACAAATAAACTGGTTTGAATTTTTTCTAATAAAGCCAAGTTCTCTGGATCAAGACCAATGAGATATTCTCTTGCCTAAAGGGCAAGGAGATGATTAAATATTACCATTTAACTATAACATCTAGAAAATGTCAAGGGTTTGTTAGAGAAAGTTTATTAAGAACAACGTAAGACTGTAATTAGCACTGAGGTCCATGACTGGACAATGAGCAGCGTGATAGACTTTGGGGTGCTGAGGCCTGAATGGGCTATCTCTGTCACTCCTTCCCTCAAGGCTCAGGGCCCATGCAGAAGAGAAGTCAGAGAGACTGTAAACACCAGAGGTGGTGGGCAAGTTTAAAGAAACAGCAATTTCTAGATAAAACAGCAAATGTACATGTGAACTCACAGAGACTGTGACAGCACACGCAAGACCTGCACAAGTTCAAGCCAGACAAAATCCCAGCATGATGGAAGGGAAATGGGTACAGTCACACCCCTGACCAAGCTATTCACACATGAAAGATGGAAGATCAGTTTTCTCCACACTCCAGGGCAGGCTTCATGCACAGAAGGAGTTGGCAACACAAATGTGACTCTGTGGTTTCAGTGGCTTGTTTTTGTTTTAAGAAAGAAAAAACTTGAAGTTGGGCGGCTAGAAAGGGGGAGGGGAGTCTGAGAGGGAAAGAATATAACAAAATATACTATTTGAAGTTCTCAAAGAATAAAAACAAGAGATGGAATTAGCATACGCAAAGAATAGCATGAATTATTACCTTTGCCCACCGAGTTCGCTCCTCACTAGTTAAGGCCGCAACACCGGGTCCAACAGGTTCATTCCAGCACTTCTTGTGGATATATGTCAGTTGTCTTATGGAAGATTAAAAATAAACCATACTCAAAAAGAGAATGGACAGGACACAAAGGAGCTACAGAAGCCTTTATACACACACACACACGCTGTGTGTGTATGTGTGTGTGTTTGTGTGTGTGTGTCCAGTGATTATTGTATTTATACCAAAAAATATATTGGACAATAATTTATATTTCAAAATAAGCTTAGATGATATAAACTTGGAAAACATGAGCAATTTCCAGGGTTCAGATAAATAAACACCTTCTCCATGGGAAAAACCTGAAAAAGTGTTTTGGTAGTTAATCTTATAGCTATTATGTACTTCTAATTAAAAATTGTGCACATATATATAAAACTAGAACATTTACTGTACGCTCAATCATTATTTGTGCTTTACCCAGAAACAGAAGTACCATGTAGCCAATTTTAAATGGTTTCATAAGTATCATTTCATAAAATATCATCACAATTATATTTTAAACACTTGACTACATATGGTGCACAGCCTGTAATTCAAGCACTGCAGAAGGCAGGACAGCACAGCAAGCCTGGGTATACAATAAGACCTTGTCTCAAAGAGAGACAAAAGAGGGTGGGAGTGCATGCTGTCTAAAGTTTATGGGATGAAGATAAAGTGTTTGATCTCTCTTTAAACATGGAGCAAGTAAGTAACAGGGATGCACATGAAGAC